AATACTTGAATACTTCAGGTCTGTTCTGAACCTCTTTTTGTTCTTCATGCTTTTCTCCATATTTTTGGAAAGAACTTACTGTTTTCTAGTACATACTTATGGCACTGAATTACCACTTTTATGCTGGTTGAAATAAGAATAACACCAAATCAAGCAATGTATTCATCTGGTAACTACCTCCACAAACTGACCTAATGCTTACATATACTTTGAATCAACCTTTAAGTTGTTTTAACATAATATAGACAGACGCATTATGGACAGAATAGCATTTTCTTATGTACTCAGAAAAACAGAAACCTCATGAACAGTAGGTAAATAATCTTTGGCTAGAATCTTCCATGATTTGAATTAGAATATTGTTTCTTTAATCCCTACTGATATTAATCATTTCAGAGTGCTGTATTTAAAGACTAACTCATAAGTACCCTAGTTTTCTGCCATATCACTTGTACCAAAGGTGTACATCTGCTCCATGCAAGCTCGCATCCAGAACCAGCATGTAGCTCCCCCTTCGCCTCTGCCATTTCTCCACACTCTCTGGTACTACTGGTAGTGCCTGTGCAAATGATGGTTCCCCTCGTGACTTCCAGTGTACTGCTCGGTGGTACAACAGAGAAATCAAGCCAGGAATATCTAGAACTGGTCCCTGAAGGAGGTAATCCTGGTGGAGGATGTCTAATTGTCGATAGGTTCTTTCAGATAAATCAGTTCACACATATTTAGCTGCAGTTTGCTCATATTGACAGAATCAGAGTCAACACAGCAGACAGTTTAAACCTACATGTCAAATACAGAAGCTGGGCAGAGAAATAAACCCATGAAGTACGTAATGACAAAATGGAACAAACAAGATGCTTAGGCAAGTTTTCCTAAGTTTTTGGAGGGTCGCTGTGTGATTTTTGTTTTTCTTTATTTTTTATTTTTAAAAAATATTTATTTATTTGAGAGAGAGAGAGAGTGCAAGCAGGGGGAGGTGCAGAGGGAGAGGAGGGAGAAAATCTCAAGCAGACTCCCCACAGAGCATGGAGCCCCAGGGAGGGCTGGGTCCCATGACCCTGAGATCATGACCTGAGCCTTGAGATTCTCTCCCTCTCCCTCTCCCCTCTCCCCACCCTCATTTTCATGCTCTCTCTCTCTAAAAACAAAAACAAAAACAAAAATAAAAAACAAAAAAAACCATGGGCTTCATGGGCTTAGAGCCCATGGGATTTATGCATTCCCAGACAAGAGGACAGGAGGGAGCATGAATGACCTAGTAAACAGTTAAAATGTGTTTTGCTTTTTCCTTATGGGAACTCCTAAGGTTCTATATCAGAATGCTTTTAATCTTCAAAGAAACCCATGTTTTATAACTGAATTCCAGGTCCTACCTTAGCTTCAGATCAAAACTAGTTTTCCCACAGCTTGCTTCAGTATATTTTTAGTCCACACAAGAGAGAGCATAAAATGATTAAACAGGAACCTCCATGACCTTCAGCAACCACATCTGCTGGTTAACGCTGACACAAAGGAAACCTCAGGTACCCATGTTTTCCCCGGAGATCATAAACCTTGATCAGGATGCAGCTCAACAAAAGGCAAGAAGAAAGGTACCTGCCTGGCCCAGTGGTAGATGCTTCATCACAGGGTCACAGGAACTACAGGTATTCCCCAGTGTGGAAGATAGGTCTTCCCCTAGGCTCCCAGTCCCGAGGCCAGGACTCCCCAGGGCAAGCTGTGTTGCCTTGGACCCCGCAGACAGGCGCACGCTCAGGGGACCAGGAGAGGGCTGTGCTGAGGCCCTGGGAAAGAGTCAGGCCGAGTGCTCCTGAGGGACCCCAACACCTTGGGAACCACCCAGCCAGGGAAGAGGACTGGGGGCAGCTCAGCTCTGGAAGGACTTGACGTCCAGATTTCTGTGGCTTCCCTGATAGCTTCTGCCTTCAGGACCTGCCGGGGGTCTCTACCTCTCAGAAGGTGGAGAATGACCTGGGTAGATGGGCTGTCTTCCTGCCCTCAGCCTGGGAGTGGCTGGTATCACCTTCTGCAAGTTTTTTTGCCATGGAGGTTAACGTCAACAACCTGACCTGAATCCCCGCGATCCAAGAGAGGAAAAGTAACTGTCCATTCCAGGAGCCTGACAGCCAAGGAAAGAGTAGGGAATGCCATCGTCAGAGCATGCCCCAGGGAATGGAAGAGGCAGAGAATTATAACACAGGAATTTAAGGTATGGCAAATGCTGCAGAGAAAAACTTCCTAAAGCTTAATTAGATGATGTTGGAACTAAGAAATTAAATAGAGGAATTTAAATAGAGGAATTTAAAAGGAGGATGGTTCCTACTGAGACTGAAATTAGTGAATCTGATATTAGTGGTCATGAGCAAAAAATATATTAGAACATTTAGCAAAAATATAAGAGGTTGAAATAAGAAGGACAAGAAAAGAGATTTGGAGGGTAAACTGTGCAGGCCTAATAGCCAAAGATATTTCAAAAGGAAAAATATATATATATTATACAATAGTTAAGGAATATATAATTATTAAAGAATATGAGATTCACATCCCCCTTTGTTGAAGAAAGGTATAAATCTGTGAATTGAAATTACTCACTAAGTTTGAGACTGAGTTGATAAGAAAAGTTACCATCTAGACATATTCTGACCTAATAATATATATAAATGGAATGACTTGGGTATATTTATACAGTGGTAAGAAGCAAAGATAAATGGATGATATAATGTGACGAATGACATGCAAAATGAAAAGAAAGTCCAACTCCTTAACACCCTAAGATACTCCACCACTTCACTGTCTACACAAACACACAGCAACACAGCTCTCTAAGTGACATACAAGGCCCATGTCCATCTTTTAGGTCTTATGCCTTCTACCTACCAAGAATAATAAAGTACAGTTATCCAAAACTCAATTGCATTTACAATATTACAGTTTTGGAAAGATTAATTTCAATGTATTTGTGCCTTTAGGAGAGGATTTTTGTTGTAGTTTCTATTAAAGAAAGAGCATTCTTACTAGGGCTCAAGACCACAAATTAGGATCTTAATCATAAGAATGCTTCACATATTCAAGATTCCCTCCTCCCCTTGCCTGTTAAATCTTTGCAATGCATTTTCCATAACAAATATCACCAATAACAAATGCATTACAATTTAAGTAATGAGAGGATCTCTCCTTTGGGTCTTGAGATGTCTGATAGTACATTGGAGCCACAGGACTGAAGGAGAAGGAGGGTGGCAGAGGCAGGGTGCCTTCATTTGGTACCTGCTCACTGTCTGTGCCATGCACGTGTCCTATGGGTATTCAAAGGAGACCGTGCACACAGAGAAAAGAGCTGAGGCTTTCAGGTTGGCTATATATAGGTTTAAATCCCAGCTGGGGGACCTCAGAATATGCATTTAGCATCCAGGAACCTCATTTTCTTCAAATGTGAAGTGGGGACAATGATACCCACCTTGAAAGACTCATAAAGACTATGAGATAGGCAGGCATTATGTATGAATCACCTATCACAGGGCTGGTGGTGTGAGCATCTAGAACAGGCATATGTGGGCAAAATGGGACCACAGCTTTTGCTTCCTGGACTTGAATCATCACTTCCATCCACAGCACAGCTATTTTCATCATTATGGCCCACACCCTGCCATCCCATCTATTTTTTCCTCTACTCGGTGGGCTCAGTGCCCAGTCTGAAGACGGCAGAAAAAGCAAGAGGACTGTTACTACTTGCCATACATCTTGTTTTTCACATTGCATCCCTGCATCCCATGTTTTGGAGAGCTGAAAATATTTCATTATTCCTGGCCATAATCACCAAGAATTTGAGGTGAGGGAAAGTACACCTCCTTCTCACTGTACTAAATGACTTTCTTTTCTGCCCCATAAAATCCACCATAGAGAAAAAGGAAACTGCAACTCAGATGTCACTGTGTTTTTGGTTCAACACTCTCTCCTATTTCTAGTACTTGCTTTTCCCACTCAGGAATGTTTGGGGCTAATAACATCTCTCCTGTGAATGCCAAGTACTACTTCTATGATGGCAGCTGCCTTTGTCTTCTTAGAGAACATCAGCGCTCCCCCAGGTCCATAGCCTCTATACATGGCGGGCACAAGGCCACTGTGGCCTGTGTGTTGGTAGAGGCAGAAGAGACAAAAGGGTGGTATCATGTGAGAGGTATGTGCTCACATGTGGGACCACAGCATGTTCAGCTCAGAACCATCAAGTTCTTAGTTCATTTCTAGGTGTCAGCTGACATGCATCCTCTCCCTAGCCCTAAGTTACCACTTACTCCAAGTTATCTGACACTCTTGAGCCATATTCTCATTTATTAAAGGAGAGTTAGAGCCACATTTCTTAAGAGGTATTGTGGTGACAAAATAGATGCATACAAAGCACCTTAGATAGAGTTTGGCTTATAAAAGGTGATATGGTAGATGTGGCAAATTATATCACTAGAGAAAGTTCTCTATCAGGACATCCCCAAATTTCCATGAACATGGGTGCAATATTGTATGGAGACTAAATAGTCTAAATTAGCTGAGCTACTATGATTTTTTTCTCCTCTTTGTGGTCAGCTGACCCCCAGGAAGCAGATATATCCAGTACCAAATGACTGGAGTTTGATGTTTGGCATAGTCATCTGAAGGGCAAGCAGAACTAGAGACCAGATTGATCACCAAGTTCCACCCCATTCTGCTGGGCCCTCTCCGCTCTCCCACGCCGCTCCCTGCCTCTGACAACCCCTCCCTGCTCTGCTGGGCCCCTCCCTCCCTGACAAGCCCCTCCCCACTCTGAGGAGATTGGATCCAAATGGAGGAGGGGAGGTGGAACGCCTTCCGGTAGTCCTCTCCAACATGTTTGATTCCTAAAGGTTAGAAGACCTGCTGTCGTGTGTTTTCCTCCGTGCACCTTTGTTGAAGGAGCCTAATCTTTGACGTTAGAAATCACACAAGCGCGCACACATGCAAATTCAGACAGGGCTAACGGTGTGCTCACTGACCTTCACAGCAGTCTTGCCACACTCGCAGATCGACCTGAGGTATCTCACTGCAGCTCAGGTAATCCTGAGGGTATTGTGCCTTCACGAAGACATCGGCCTGGACTTGCTGGATGTTGTCACCATTGTCACAGAGCACGCGGCCCAGTGACGCCTGCTTCAGCTGAGTGAGCTGTGCGGGAGTGAACACCCCGGGGTTCTCATACCAGAACCTGGTGGTCAGCAAGGAGAGGCACAGAGTGAGGGTCTTGCGGGGAGCACTGCACTGAGCTGCGTGCGGAGCGGAGATAACAGCACAGAGGAGCTCAGCAAAAGAGAAGCATATGGAAAGGATTATGTTTGTTCTCCAACTAAGCATGTTTGAACTGCCTCCAATATTTATAAAGTTCTTAAATCCCATGCTTTTGAACTATCGGTTTCTCTTCAAGTTTTACAAAATGATTCAAAGTAAAGCTTTGTAAAGTTTTAAAAGATTTTTAAAAAGCACGTTTTCTAATCTAAAATTCCATAAACTGGTCTTAGAAATTACCTGAACAGTTTAATATTGACATGTTTGCCTAAAAGGGAAATGTTGCTTTGTAATTATTAATACACACTAGTTTATTATATCTATTGGTTAATTAGAATGAACACATTCGGTTTCAAATGAAACCATACAGTTTAAAAACATTATTAAAGTGAGCCCTTGTTCATTCCTTCAGGAAGTATTTCAGTACCATATGCCAAGCACTTTTCTCATGTTAAGAATACAACATATGATAGGAAGCAAACACTGTTGCCACTCACATGGCATATGGGTTGACTTGTGTCCCCTCAAAATTTATATTCTGAAATCCTAGCCCCCAGTACTTCAGAATGTGACTTTATTTGGAGACAGGTCCATTAAAGAGGTAGTTAAGTAAAAATAAGTCATTAGAGTGTCATGGGGGAATTAAGGTCATAATCCAATATGATTAGTGTCCTTATAAGGAAAGGAAATATGGACACAGACAGGTACAGAGGGGAGACTATGTGGAGAGAAAGGGAGAAGTTGGCCATCTACAAGACAAGGAGAAAGGTCTCTGTAGGGACCAACACTCCCAACCTTCACCTAGATTCCAGAACTGTGAGACAATACATTTGTAATTTAAGCCACTCAGTCTTTTGGATTTTATGGTAACCCTAGTAAACTAATACAAATGAGGAAGACGGCTTACATAAAAAAAAACAAAGCTTTCCCAAATTTATTTACTTTTTAACTACTATCAGTTGAACATAGCCCAACTATGTGTGGCAATAAATCCAGAGTGCTAAAACTAATTTATAAAAATTAAAATGAAATATTATACTATGAATGTTTGCCAATGTGCAATTAAAAGAATTAAATCTGTTCCTACTTTCTTTATAATTCATAAGTAGAAGAGATTGGGAAAAAAAATTTAAGTAAAGAATAATTTTTAGTATAACTCTAATTAAAAACTAAGTTCTAGGGGACCCCTGGGTGGCTCAGCCTTCAGCTCAGATCCCAGAGTCCTGGGATCAAGTCCCTCATCGGGCTACCTCCTCGGCAGGGAGTCTAATTCTCCCTCTGCCTGCCACTCTCCCTGCTTGTGCTCTCTCTCTCTCTTCCCCTCTCTGACAAATAAATAAAAAATCTTAAAAAAAGTTCTAGATAGTGTTTTAAGTCATATAGAGATATAGATATAGATATGTAGATACAGATACACACATCTCTGCAATAATACAAAAGGTTGAATTGTCAAACAGGTTCACAAGACTCCTAGCTCTTACTCAAGACTATACTAATGATTCAGAAGATACAGCGAGTGCCCTGGAACACATTTGCTTCAAGTAAGAGAGGAGAGCTAATAGTGTGTCCCATGCCAACCCAGTGGGGGCTGCTTAGTTTTTCAGTTTTCTTAGTTTTTATACTTGGTTAGCCTTGCAAGAAAGATATTACATGAACTTACATCTCCAGCCAGCTGTCTGTCATAATTTCATAAAGTCAAGTTGATTTACAATAAACACTTCAGACAAACCAAGAGATCTTTAGGAAGAATTCCCAGTTATCTTTCTGCTTACCTTAGCACAGTTTTGCAAGGAGGTCTAGTATTGGGTCAACAGGTCTTCCATGAGGATGAAGAGATACAGCTGCAGGCCTGCTGTCAACTCCTGCCTGCCAACATCATTCACAGTTGCCACAATCTATGAGCCCTAGGTACTACTGTTAATCAGACTTCACAGATGAGGCAACAGGTTTCAGGTGTTATGCTTCTTAAGGTTAAATAGTTTCGAGTAGGTGTGCCCAGATTTAAACACAGGGTAGTAAGTCTAGTGCATCCTTTTAACCACTGACTTCTATGCCTTTCCTAGACAGTCTATTTCTTTTTTTTTCTACAAAGATTTATAAAAATTTACAAAAAGGAATGCTATCTGGTATTATCAGTAGTCAGAAAAATTCTGTGACCAAATACTATTTGTTATTTCTTATATTCAAAATATTTTAAATCATAGAAAGCATGGACTCACACTCATAATGTTATTGTATACCTATATTTTGGGGCAAAAAATAATTTTATTAGCTTTGATAAGTATAACAGATAATTCTTCACCTATCTCCATCTCTTAGCCGCTGAAACTGGGTAACAAACAGGCACATAAGTGTTGGCCCCACTCTCGTACCAGGGATCAGGTCTTCAACCATGAGGGCGGGCCAGAAGTCAATGTCGCCTGGTGAGCCATACAACCTGAAACAAAGACGTGCAGATGTCACATGCTGGGGTGTCAAAGTGACAATGACAGTATTATTTATACAAATGACTACAGAGCATTTTTTTAAATTTATACACACTAAAAAGAAAGGCAGAGATTATTAGTATTCCCATTTCAGAGGTAATACTTTGAGATGATAGAAGAATTCAGGGATCACCTAGCTGGCCAGGGAACAGAGCAGTGACCTAACCAAGAGCATTTAACCCCAGTCATGTAATATCCACTGTGTTCTTCTTTATAATTACTCTATAAGTATATGGAATATAACTCGTGTGTGTGTGTGTGTGTAGATCTGTATCCAACTAATTCGTTCAGAAATAAGTAACAAATAAACTAGTTAACTATTAAAAAATGTCCATGTCAGTGTATATGGTAAGTAGGTTAAACAGAGTAAAAAAATAATCTGTGGAAATAATATAATGTGTTAGATAAATTTTCTCTTGCTAAAAAGACAATGATACTTGATTTGGGATCTGAAGTGATTTTTTTTTAAAGATTTTATTTATTTATTTGAGAGAGAGAGAATGAGAGACAGAGAGCATGAGAGGGAGGAGGGTCAGAGGGAGAAGCAGACTCCCTGCTGAGCAGGGAGCCCGATGCGGGACTCGATCCTGGGACTCCAGGATCATGACCTGAGCCGAAGGCAGTCGCTTAACCAACTGAGCCACCCAGGCACCCCTGAAGTGATTTTTTAAAATTAAAAAAAGTCATAATGTAAATGACAATTAAGCAAACAGCTTTGGATACACCATCCATTTAAAGAAAGAAAATTAGACCAGTACCCGTGAAACTCCTTGTGAGAGCCGCTGAGACTGTTTTCTCCCTGTCCCTAAGGATAAACATGGGAACAACTTGATCTGTCCCATATGTTACTTTAACATTTTATTTCATGTGTATGATTCCACAGACTGCATATAGTTCAGCTTCACATGTTTTAACCTTGACACAGATGGAAAAATCATGTTCATACTTCCTTTGTTTTACTCAACAGTTTATTTGGAGATTCATTCCTGTTGTTGCATACATCTGCATCCTTTTCTCTGCTCTACTGTAGCCCATTGGATATTCTCCCAATTTAGTTGTCTGTTCTACTGGTGATGAATATTGGTGGTGTTTTCAGCTTTTCACTATAAACGTTCTCATACATGTTTCTTAATACAGAAAAAGGTCTTTCTAGGCCAGGCATCAGCAAATTTTTACAACAAAGGATAAGATTGTAAATATTTTCAGCATTGTGGGCTACATTTTGCAATTACTCAACTCTTACCTTTTTCACAAAAGCAGCCAAAGACAACACATAAAAAATGGACACAGTTTTGTTCCAATAAACCTTTACTTAGAAAATCAGGCAGTGGGTTAGATTTGGTCAGTGGGCTGTGGTTTGCAGATTCCTGCTCTAGAAATGCTGATGCTAAAGTTTCAAATGCAGAGTGTGAAGCATGACATTTTTAATTTTAATAGATAATGCCAAACTGCTGTCCAAAACATATGTATAGTTCATACTCTCATAATGACCATACAGAAGTTCTCTGTGATGCATATCTTCAATTTTAATAGTGTCCTTGGCATATTGAATTTATTCTTCAATTTTTTTTTGTTTAGTCACATCTCTTTGCTGCTGCCTTTCTTCTCCTTCCCCCACCTTCTCCTTCCTTCCCCTCCCCCTTGTACCCCTCTCTATCCTCCCCCTCCTGCCCCTTCTCCTCCTGCTTCTCCTCCTCCTCCTGCATTTCTTTTCTTAATTTCTGATGATAGCTGGGCTTTTTATATCTCCAAGTACTTGTTTGAGTGTTTGAGTGCTTGTTTAATTCAGATTCAAGTGTTGTATTATAGATTCCTTCTGTTTCAATTTTTTTTCCCCTGGAAGAATTTTTCTCTGAAATGTTTTGATTTGCATTTTTGTTTTCTTGCTACATAGCTTTATTTGAAATAAGCTTTCTCTCTCTCTCTCTCTCTCTCTCTCTCTCTCTCTCTTATTCCTAGGCATTTCATGAAATGGTTTTCTAGTTCAGTACCATACTCTTCTGTCACTGAAGTGAAGTATATCATCTTAGATTGAGGTGTTGGTGGCAATGGGAGACAGTAGGCATTGATGGGTTTTATTTCTCTTCCATTCTTACAGCATTCTTAATTTCACTTCATTCTGCTTTAGTTTCCTATCGTATCTGAAGGGGTGCTATCCCTTCTCTACTTATCTTCTGTCTCCAAAACATGGCTAACTCTGGTTACTTTCTGCCATGTGACTGGTATTGTGGACTCCTGGGTTCCAGAGCTACATTTGGTGATTTAACGCTTATTGTTGACCTGTGTCCTTCTAGAGAGATTTCTTTTTTTTTCTCATAGTTTATCTATATACCCTGCTCCTCTTTCTTATGTCCACAAAGATTTTTAAATTCTCCATCCTTCTCTCCATGCCCACAGACTTGCTGTGGAAGTGGAGCTTTGATGGCAGCTCTGTTGGAACTTGGTGATGATTTTCAGACGTAAAATAATTTGAAATTCATGCCATTCTTGTCTCTTACTAATTCTAAATGTATGAGTCATGTGTTATTTGGTGTGTCCTCTTCATCAGCCTCATAGTTTTGTAGGAGGCCATGTTAAAAAATTTAAAATCAAATGACCATTTGTTATTTTTCTAAGACTAACTTGAAATTATACCTACTTTGTAAAATGTGTGCTAATCTAATGGGAGTGAAATAGTGTTTCATTATGATTTTTCATTATCCTGATTATTTTCTTGAGCATCTGCTATATATTGATTGGGCGATCTTTTTTTTTTCACATAAAATGCCTATTTATACCACGTCTTTTCCCCATTTTTTCTATTGGGTTATGATTTTCTGTCTTACTTTAGGAGTTCTGTATATATTCTGTATGCTAATGCATTGTTATCTATGTTCAAATGTATTCCTCAAATTTGGGACTTTTTTTTTTTAAGATTTTTTTTTTCAAAGAGATTGAAACAAGTGAAATTTTAATTAGCAATAATTGCGCCTCAGATAAACCTCATTGCCTACGATACTGCCACTGCACAAAGCTTAAAACAAGTGAAATTTTAATAAAATGCCTTATTTAACCCAATTCACCCAAAATGTCACTTCAACATGCAATCAATTTTAAAAATCATCAGTGAGATACTTCATGGTCTTTTGTTTCTATGAAGTCTCTGAAATCCAATGTATTTTTATACACACAGCACATCCTCCATTTGGACTGACCAGATCGCAAGTGCCCCACATGACCAGTGGCCGCCACGTTGGACGGCGCAGATCCAGCTTAAGAGCAAGGCTCCCACTAGCTGGCAACAGGGCCGAGTGCAAGTCCTTGGTTCCTCCCCCATGGGTTTGCTCATCTGATGCCAGATGACTCTTCCAGCCCCAAAGGTCTGTGGAGTTCTCTTTCTTAGAAATAGCTGTATTAAATCGTTTTTAAAATAACAGATACAGGGATGGATGAAAGAATTAATGAATAAGTGAACAGGTCAATTATGGGTTATGGTCGCCGATCATTTGGCTGAGAACAGGAGCAATGGGAGCAAGCTTGTTGTGGTAACTTGTATGGATGAGAACGTTTCCATACAGCAGCTATAGAAATTGGTAAGACGCTGCAGTTATCCACACACATGGAGAAGACGCGCTTATACACGAGCTTTCCAAATGTATCAAGTATGTCGGTGATAAGGACAAATTTGCTTGGGTAGAAGGGGGAAGGGCAAAGGGAAAGGGAGAGAGAGAGAATCCCAAGCAGACTCCACACTGAGTGCAGAGTCCAAGGCAGGACTCGATCCCAGGGTCCTGATATCATGACCTGAGCCAAAATCAAGTCAGATGCTTAACCGACTGAGCCATACAGGTGACCCAATAGGACTGTTTGTATTAATTACTCTCATTATGTCAGACTTTGATGAAAATAGTGTCTTCCTTTTAAGGTCAATTTTATCAATTTTTTATAGTTTTTTTATACTTTTTTTTTGCTTTTAATATAATTATTTTTTTTCAATATCTATTTTTTTAATTTTATTATGTTAATTACCATACATTACATCATTAGTTTTTGATGTAGTGTTCCATGATTCATTGTTTGCATATAACACCCATTGATCCATTCAGTACCTGCCCTCTTTAATACCCATCAGAAGGCTAACCCATCCCCCTACCCCCCCTCCCCTCTAGAACCCTCAGTTTGTTTCTCAGAGTCCATAGTCTCTCATGTTTCATCTCCCCCTCCAATTTACCACCTTCATTTTTCCCTTCCTGTTACCTTGTGGGGTTTTTTGTTTTTTTTTTTAACATATAATGTATTATTTGTTTCAGAGGTACAGTTCTGTGATGCAATAGTCTTACACAATTCACAGCACTCACCATAGCACATACCCTCCCCAATATCTATCACCCAGCCACTCCATCCCTCCCACGCCCCACCACTCCAGCAACCCTCAGTTTGTTTCCTGAGTTAAGAATTCCTCATATCATTGAGATCTTATGATACATGTCTTTCACTGATTGAATTATTTCCATCAGCATAATACCCTCCAGTTCCATCCACGTTGGTTCAAATGGCAAGATTTCATTTCTTTTGATGGGTCTGTAATATATCATTGTATATATATATACCACATTTTATTTA